AAGCAGGGCTGGGTGTTATCTTCGCAAACAACTAGGACCTAGAGTAGGCCCTTATTCCCTTTTTGTAGGGTTCAGGTTCCCATATAAGCCCCTTTAAACCAAAAAGGGCACCCTTTTTATTCCTAGGTTACTCTTGGGTCTAGACAAAGAGCCCTAAACCCGAAACTCTTCAGAATCCTGAGGCCCTTACCTTTCAGCCCAGTCGCAGAATTGAGCCCCAAAGCACAAGCTCTCATCTCTCACCCAGTGGAAATGTAGACCCTTAAATCAACTAATCTATCTGTTTATACCAACATATAAAAATTACGTCCACAAACCTTAGTCTGGGCATCAAAATAGCACAAAAAGCCTTACATAGTATGGTCTATGGGCCCAAAAGCCTTAATCAATGAGTCCTTAGATGCCTAGGGTTAGTCCAATCCGAACCCTAAACCCCTAAACCCCTAAACCCTAAACCCTAAACCCCTAACCCCTAACCCCTAAACCCCTAACCCCTAAACCCCTAAACCCTAAACCCCTAACCCCTAAACCCCTAAATCCTAAACCCCTGAACCCTAAACCCCTAAATCCTAAACCCCTGCCCTACGTGTCGTTTTTTTTCCCCCGCAGGCTCCCAAGGCGCCAAGGAAGGCAGAGGCTCACGAGGGAGAAGGATTCGGGCGCTTAGGGCTTTAGGATGTAGGCGTTACCTTAACCCCCAGAGACTCCAATATCCCTTAAATTAAGGAATATACCTTAAATCATACAAGGGATCCTACCATATTTTACGGCATCTATTCCGTATATTAAGGTATATTGGAGGTCTCTGGGACCTGGTTTAGGGTTTCTGGGTTTAGGGTACTAGGGTTTTTGGGACTTGGGGTTTTGGGGTTTAGGGATGTTCAGGGTTTAGGGTACTAGGGTTCACCTTAACCCCGACAAACCTAGTTTTCAAGGACTTAGAGAAATCATAATCAGGAACCCGAAAAAGGAAGGTTATTCCGGATTAAGGTAGGGTTTAGGGTACTAGGGTCCAAGCTTGAGGCGTTTAGGGTTGAGGGTTTAGGGTTTAGGGTGGAGGAGGAATAGGGCCTATCTGTTGAGTCTACAGGGTTTTCAGCGCGCCCGCTGTTTTCATTGAGAGTAGTGTTCAGGGTTTGCAAAGTCTGGGTTTTACGGTGTATAGGGTTTAGTGTTTTTGTGGATTGCAAGGTTTAGGGGTTGGGGGATGGTATCGTTTAGGATTCAGGATTTGGGGTTTTTCATTGCCATCGCAGCCAGTCGCTGATATACGGCCCTTGTGCTAGCATGGCGCTGCTGGTCATTGGTTCGCCTTTTGTTGCAGCTTAGTCGAAGTATCTACCAGCCACACACTGGCCGAGACACCAGCCTGCAAACAGTGTTCAGGGTTTGGACTATTACGATGCATTACTATCCTCAACTACAAACCAATAACCTAACCCAAGTCCCGAATTCTTGAGCACCGTGGTCCTTAGCGAAAGACACTGTGCTCTGGCTGACAGGCTACTCCTCCAGCATCGCAACAAGCAGAGGAGGAGCCGAAATCACACTATCGGTCTTAACGATTTGCATCGAAGGAAGTTAGTGTTTAGACTTTAGGGATATGGGGGTTCAAGGTTCGGGATTGAGGGTTTAGGGTGGAATAAGGGTTTCGGTTTAGGGGTTCGGCTTGTGTGATCATGTTTTGATGAGGGGCCAGCTCACTGGCTCCCCGAACCCCTGTGACCCAATCTAGCTACGGCGCTGGCTTTGTTTGATTTGTGGTTTGAGGTTGGGAGATTGATGGGTTCATATTGGTAGTTCTATAATTAGAGTCCAATTTTCAGGGTCTTCCTATAAGGGTGCCGTACTGTTTTGGGGATGCGAAGAGGGACCCTAATTTACAGAACTACCCATATGGTCTTCAGAGATATCCAGTTGCACAAACAAGCGGGAGTGCATGCAATGTCGTGGGGCAAGCAGTAGGCTTCCTCTGCCCGATCTCCGTAATGCCGGAGCAAAACATCCGCCTGTTCTATGGGAGTTTCGGATGAGTTTCTATAGGACCTAGTGCAATTGCCTAAAGCTAAGGTTCTGGTGCCAAGACCGAGACCCATGGCCTAAACTCAGCTAGAACCCTGTCGATAGTTGCCGAGACCGCTGACCAAAGCAGGACCCCAAAATTCCTCATCCCAGAATTCCCTAAGGCAGACGCCACACAAAGCCAAGATTCGGGTTTCGGGGATGGTAAAGCCGGCCACACCCATCTTGTGATGCTAGAGCTCTTTCTGCATCTTCGCAGCTGAATCCCTACGTTGATTACGCTGTAAGTTTAAGGTTTTATAAACGATCCTCCATCCTCATCCCTTAAACCCTAAACCCCTTCGCCCCCCTTCACTCCCACCTCTCTGTGCCCGGTTCCGGAGAGGAGCCGAAGCGTGTGATCCGACTGGAGGAGCTGTCGTTAGGGTTTAGGGTTTAGGGTATAATTGGGGGTTACAGCGACTCATACTGTGTTTTTGTTTTTTGTTTGGGGGTGGGGCGTGTTCTTGAACTGTTCGAATTCTAGTACATGATACCTCGATACCTTATTCTGGGCTTCTGAAGCCTCGGGTTGTCCCGGTCTAGGGTTTAGGGATTTAGAGTTTAGGGCTTAGGGTTTGGGGATTTAGGGTTTAGGGTTTGGCGTTCTCTTTGTAGGTTTCCGCCCCGAAGCAGGGGGCCTCGCAGATGGGAGCCATATAGACGGAGCTACAAAGCTGTGTTGCCTACAGAACCTCGCAACCCTCCCTCGGAAAGCGCATACCGATCTTGAACCCAAATCTTTACGCAGTAGACACCGAACCTTATAGCTTAAACCGTAAGACCTCTTTCCTTTGCAAGAGATCCATAGAGGTCCCTTACGATCTAAACCCAAAGCCCACGCAGCTGTCCAGACCTGCTGATACCCACTATCATAGCGGCCGTCATAGTTTAATATTTTTTTGGGTGGTTCCTTATTATAAGTATACTATAATGGGCCCCAAACACTTCCCAGATGAAGGCCCAGTACTGGGACCCGATAGCCTGGATAACAGTGGGGCGGTGGAATCCTGTGCCCTTCAGGATTGCAAGCTTCGGGTGCCAGAGGGTTCAGGGTTTAGAGTTTATAGGGTTAGGGCATTAGGGTTTAGGGTTCAGAGTTTATAGGGTTCGGGTAGTAGGGTTTAGGGTTTAGGGTACAGTCAACCCCATAAAGTTGAAAACCGGATTAAGGCCAAATAGTGCTGGAATTCCCTATACACTGCTCTTAAGGATTGAGGCTACGGGGTTTCCAACTTTTAGGCTTCTACTGCAGAGGGTTTAGAGTTTATAGGGTTAGGGTATAAGGGTTTTGGAGTTTAGGGTTTAGCCTTAGTGCTTCGCTGGCGCACAATCCAAGCCCATGCTGAAAAAAAGCCTTAGTGCTCCTAAGGGCTTGAGGTCTTTGGGGATGTATGGGTTGGGCTTCGGGGTTTTTAGTTGAGGGAACCCCACTACGAGCAGTACTCTGTAGCGACGCATCGTGGAGGACAGTATGACAATGCGTCCCCGGAAGCCCGGATACCTGTTTAGGCACAGGGGTTGCTGTCTTAGGGTGTCATGTCGCAATAATGCGACGCACCCAAGGCCGATCGTACCTTCTAAGGGCTGCTGCTTCTTCGAGTCAAACATGAAGTAGAGCTTCTACTGTTTTTGGTGAGTCTATACAGCACCGCTGAGCAATATCGGGGAGGGTGTACTTATGGTTCCCTTATGGGTATACTAGAAACATGAAGCCTACCCCGTTTCTGAAGAACATGCCAGTCTTGCGCAGAAGGAGGTGACGCTGCTGAGTGGTCCCATAGCAGGTTTATACCAATGCTCGATTTGCGTTCGAAGTTGCGCGGGGTTGTGTCACCATGTAGGGCACACCAACATCCAGCCCGTAAGCCCTAAACTTTAAGCTGCCTCAGCTTGCATTTTGAAAAGGAGCTGCCCAACGGCCCCAATATAGAATTTGAACCCTGTGAAAGTAGCTCTCGGGAGTTTAAGACAAAACCATAGACCCGAAGCCATACACCCTTGCAAGGAGCTGCTGGGCTTACATCTCAAGCCGACCGACGGGAGGAAAGACCCAGGACGCTACGAGCCCCTAAACCTTATACCCTGGTTCGGCAGTGTTCATTGCTCTCCGTGGTATTGAACTGAAAGTCAGATACCCTGTAGTTCCAGTCAAGGTACTCTGAACCGCCGAGACGTCAAAACTTACTAATGCGACTTACTTAGTAACTGGGGTTATGAATAAGGTAACTATACTTATAAGCACTTATAAGTCCACTTAACCTGATCAAGGAGGAGCTTCATGGGCTTGATATGGCATGATGATCTGATCACTAAGTCCCATGATCCTCCCAGTATACCCTCACCTACCAAACCCAACTATACACCCCGGTCTGACTCCTATGGGTTCAGTTTTGGGGGTTTGGGCTCATGAGGGCTTTAGAGAAGGCGGGAAGCTGATTTTTGTTGGGGGGTTCGGGGCTTCGTGGGATCAGGCTTTAGGCTCCGAAGCTGTGAGTTCGAGGCCCAGGTTTAGGGTTTAGGGATTTAGGGTTTAGGGGTTTAGGGTTTAGGGTTTGGGGTTTAGGGTTTTGGGGTTTAGGGTTTAGGGTTAGGGTTTAGGGTTTTGGGTTTTGGGTTTTGGGGTTTAGGGAGTGCTTCATTTTCATGGGCTAGCGTGACTAGAAGCCCAAAGTAGCCAGCATAATATCTCAGAGGTAATCACTACAGGTGCTGCTTGAAGACCGTGTGGCTTGGTACCTGGGTGCGGTTCATGGAACTGCCATGACATGTTGCAGCCAAAGGTTTGCTAGGGGTGCTTCGGGGTTGGCGATATCAGGGTCTTGTGATGTTGACTGGTCATGGTGCAGGCAAGGTTTGGGGTTTAGGGTAACTAGTAGGTTCCTGGCATATGCATAGTCCACGTGTAAGGGTAACTAGTAATTGCAGGCTGCAAATCGCAAAAATGCTCTGAGTATAGGTCTCACGTCGTAGTTGTTCTCCGGGCGAAAGAGGGCAAATCGAAGGCATGTCAGCGGCATGTCCAGAGCCCCTGCACAAGCTCTGCAAAATTTCTTGGCGTTCTTCTGGTTGGCTCTTGGGACTTTAGCTTCTCGTGTTTCTATATGAACCATAATGCGGATGCCAAAAGCTTTACTTTTTGGAGGGGTTCAGAAGTCAGCCAAGAAAATCTCTCCGCCTGAACTAGAAATCCCGGAGCCCATAAGACGACTCGGAACGCGAGCGGAGTTTTCCAAGGAACTCCTACTTACTTCTCCCAAGTAGTAGAGCAGGGAACCTTTTGCCTTGTTCGGGTAGTATAGTCCCTATATAATCCCTATGTAAGCAAAAAGGCTAACCTTTAGTTCCCCATGATACCCGACAAGTAGGTTTCCAATACCCAACCTTTAAACTTTTTGGGGTTCTCATAGTTTAGTAGTAACCTGAAAATTAAAGATTTTGTTTCTGTGACTTGTTATGGAAGTAAGTTAAGCACCCGAGCACGTAGCTTGGCATAAGCTTTGTTCACCCAACGAAGTGAGCTGCAATAAAGACTACAGCCCTAATCCGCCAATATCTGTAGCTATACCTATATCCGTATCCATATCCGTATCTATATCGGTATGTATGTCTGAATCTGCAGTTACTAGCATATGCAACTACAAATACATATGCTTATGCGTACATATTCATATATGCATATAGACAGTATGTGTCTATCTGTTTATCTATCTGTCTGTCTATATGGATAGATCGATCGAACGATAGGTTTCACCGCGAGAGGAATTTAAGTGTTGTATTCTCAAAGCCTGCCTAGTGATTCGCAGTAGGCAAAATGACCTTAGGCCCTAAACCCCTAAACCCTTTCAAGCCGCAAAACCGCTGAACCTTAAGACCCAGACACTCCAATATCCCTTAATAAAGGAATATACCTTAAAACATAGTAGGATCCTTAGGGCGATTTCAGGTATATTCCCTACTCAAGTAATATTGGAGTCTCTGGGGACCCTATGTTTGCAGAGCACTGGAAGCTTCGAAGTGTACTGGTCTCGGAAGGACCTCCTTCAGCGGCCGGGGATGTCGCAGCTCGCCCGAAGCACTTCTAGTCAGGTTCAGGGTTTTAGGGTTTTGGGGGCTTCGGGCTTTTAGGGATACAGGGTTTCATTCAGGCGATTGCACAAGCCCTGATGCACAAAAGGGTGCGGGTTTTGGGGGTTTCGGGTTTAGGGTTTTAGGGTTCATGGTTAAGACTCCATGATATTTATAGGGCCTGTTGTTTTGATGATTTAAGGGTTTTAGGGGTTTTCCGTTTCAGGGTAGGACGTTTTGGATTGGGGCTGTAGTACTTCGGGACGCAGGGGTTCAAGGTTATTGCTTCTGGGTCCAGGGGTTAAGAACTCGCGAAACATGGGTCTCGGGTTCTGGACTCGAGTTCAAACGCCGGGGTCTTGCATGGGTAGAAGTTGCTAAGTTCCGGGCTGCTTTATAGAGGTCCAAAATAATGTAGGGACCTGTTTAAAGAAACACTGGGTCTATAACCCCAAACAGTAGGATTCTTTTAAGGAACCCTAATAAGGACCCAAGATTTCTTGGTCAGGTTCCTACATTACAGGGATCAATCAGGGTGCCATACTGTTCAAGCCTTTCCTGGGTGGTAGGTGTAGGGTCGGGCAGCTTGGCGAGGTTTCCCAGCTTCTCCATTCAGTGAAGCCATGTCAGCTCAGTGCCATATACTTGCGCTGTAGCAGCAGAGAATCACCGGTTGCAGTCCAACTCTATGATCAACGGGCAATGGCCAATTTACTTTCCAGGTGTGCATCTGTTGGAATGGGGCACATAATGTTTAAATACAAGTACCGAGCCTGTTCGCAAAGTGTACATCTGCATTCCGCGATGTCGCAAATCCACGGCGAGTCTGCTAGTTCTGCCAGCTTGCCGAGTCGACCTGTCACAATCAACATTGGTGGCGAGAAGCTCATCGCTGTGTCTCCAAGCTTGTTCGACATTCTCGGTGAGAGCAAAATGTCTGCAATTCTTTCGGGGAGGTGGGAGACACTTCGTGACTCGGATGGAAACATTTTCATGGACTATTCCCCTGAGGTGTTCATGCCACTGGTTGAATGGTTGCGTCACAGGCGCGATGCCTCGCCGCGCAGCAGCATCCGCGTGCGCGTGGAACCCCAGTACAGGGATCAGTGGATCCGGATGATGAGGAGCTTCTCCGTTGAAGCGAAGCAGCTGTTGATAGCAGGTGTGTCTAAGCAGGATTTGCTCAAGTTTGGGTTTCCAGAAGAAGAGCTACGGGACCAAGCAGTGGAAGAGCGGCCTCCTCCAGCAGCGGAAAGGAAGCAGCGAGCACTTGCAAATGTGGAGCTTGAAGAAAAGCTACGGGAATGTCGGGCCCGCACCTACCCCCCCGAGACCTCGGTGTCCAGAGCGCGTGCTCTAGGTTTGCTGTAGGTTTCGGTGCTCACCAGTGGCCATCAGACCCGGTTGGCAGCTGATTCCAGCGTCCACATGCCAGGAGGAGAGACAGAGAGAGTTAATTAGTCAATGAGAATCTTGCAGCAGACAGGATTAGATTAGTCCGGCTGACTCTTCTGCCTGCAGTCTGCGTGAAGCTATGAAAAAGAGTGCGGAAGAGTTTGGGACCTGTTTCCGCTAATCAAGCCTAACGCCCTAAAGTAGTTCCTTTTTGGGGTTCATATATAGAATCCTATAGGGTAATCCCAAAAAGGAACTACTTTGGGGCCTCTGGGTAGTATGTGGCCCTGGTTTTCACATCTCTTCTTGCAGAGGTGACGAAGAAGGGTCATATGGGGCGTTCTCAAATTATATCCGGGTGTCTCTGAGCGTCCTTTCTATGAGGGTGCCGTACAGTTGTGGGGCCTTAGGAAGGCATTCTACAAGGAACCTTAAATCCTTAACCCCTAAACCCTATGTACCCTAAACCCTAATCTAGAACTACTGATATCGTTGAAAGGCCCAAGGGCTGCTTCTTCGAGGGTCGAGGGTGCATTTTTCATGTGTGCCAAAACATTTTGGGTTTAGGGCTTTAGGGTTTAGGTTTCATAGGGGTTAAGTTTAAATGGGAGATTTAGGAGTTAGGGTTTAGGGGTTTGGGGGCAGGTTTAAGGGTGTTGGGTTGAGGCTTTCGGGTTAAGGGGTTTAAAGCTGCTTAGAGGTTTTGGGTTAAGGGTTTAGCGATTAGACACGGTGCGATTATCTGGGGCCTGGGGGGCTTATACTATGCTGCAGATTGAAGAAAGATCCCGAAGTTGCTGTTACTTCTTAGGGGGTCTGCATGCAAGCCCGTCAGATGCAAACTATCGCCCAAACAAATCCTGGCCGGAATACATTCTGAACCCTAAGCCGTAAACTCTGAAACCATACTACAAGTGTCATAGGACATGTCGTGGTGTATTTTGGGTGCCGAAACTCGATCTGGTCAAGGTTTGTTGTCGTTTGTCCTGGCTCATACGATTTTCCTAAAGGCCGAGCCTCAATTCCTTTAAGCTTTAATATGGGGGGGAGGCGAAATAATTACCAATACTTTTTTGGTGGTTCCTTATTATAACTGTAGCATAATATATCCCCGAACCAAGGCCCCTCACAGTAGACGCCGAAAACCTACAGCCCAAGAATCTAAGCCCTCCAGACTGAAGCCTCGGCCGGCACATCGTGGACCAGTGCTTATGCCCTACGTAATTAGAGTAGCGGTCCTTGTAAAGGGTCCTTAAAAAGGGATCTATAAGGGCTACTATAAGGGGTAGTATAAGGGTATATAAGCCTTATGCCCTATGTAAAGGCTCATGGCTTCATGGGTTCCAGGGTTTAGGGGCGCAGGGTTTAAGTTTAGAGAAGCTTGAACATGAGCAAGACTAGGGTTTAGGGGTATTCGAGTCCTTTAAACCTTCCTCTAGCAGGCGTCAAAATGTTTGTGATATTCCTTGGTCAAACGGATTATAGAAACCCCACAACCCTAAACTTTAGACCAAGGTCTGGGTATGGCAGTTCGTCGAAATATTTGCTTCCACCGCCACACGGAGGCTTCCCGAACCGGGTAATTTAGCATTCCCCCATGCTCTCGGGAGAGACGTTTCGAACCATGCACACACAATCTCGGCTTTCGGATGTGGGCTCGGCTCGCAGTTTTCCTATTACAGTAGAAGCCTAAAAGTTGGAAACCCAATAGCCTCAATCCTTGAGAGTAATGCATAGGGAATCCCAGCGCCATTTGGCCTTAATTCGGTTTCCAATTTTATGGAGTTTACTGTAGGACGATGTGATCTGTGTGCTACACGCGCCTGTGCTTGACTCAGGCTCCAGCAGTGCTGTCGCGACAGACGTCCCAGGACGCGCGTAGCGTACCTTCACAGTTCAGGGGGAAATGAAGCCCACCTCCGATATCGTTGTGCGTTCGGCAGATCGGCTGTTTTCTGGATGTAAACTGGGTTGTGCTTTGGGATATATAATTTTTCGGCTCCCTTATTTCCTGATAAAGGGAACCTATTCATAACTTCTTTTCAAAGGGTTTAAAGCACAACCCCGTATAATTATTGCACGAGCAGTGTTGTGGTGAAGCTTCCTCCAAGGGTCCAAGTATATAACTATCATATACTCTCAAAAATCCTAACCTATATATATATAACTACTATCCTAAAATCGAGTACCTAATTATTAGGTCCTTTGGACCCTTGGGCTTCTAGAAGCTTCTAGTCTGTCAGGCACAATCTCCTGTACCGGCTCTGAGTACCCTAAACCCTAAACCCCTAAACCCCTAAACCCTTAACACGGCTGTGGGCTCTTTTGTTGAGGGGCTGTGCGGTCGGGAGTTATAACTAAAGCCCGGGGACCATTGGAACTGACATCTCACTTAGGGCATGGGTGGGCTTGCTTTCGTACAGCGCAAACCCGACAGAAGCCGAACATATCCAACTCGAAGGGTTTAGAGTTTAGGGTTTAGGGTGGGGATCTGCATGCATATCAGGGCTTATCGCGGGGGTGCAGTGCATTTCACAGATGCATAGGCCATGCACCGCAGCATAATTTCGGTCTTCGACGTCATCCAAATACGAGATCACGCAGCTATAAATACATCAAGGAAAGTAAAGATGCGTAGATGTTATTGCTTAAAGATACAAGTTTATATACAAAACAATGTATAAATAGCCATATACAGTTGTTGTACTTATCTATGTATCTGTTTGTTTATATGAGATACACATATGCACACACACACATGTATATGTGTATTGTGCTTATTTGTATGTGTATGTATGTCAACATGAAAAATATCAAGATTCCGGCAAAACCCGTTCCAGCAACGATTGCACCTTGCTGGAGGCCCGAATCAGCCAGTTCGTTTCCTACCACTCCAGCCCCACGCGCATATGGGAGTTTCCGAAAATAGGGGACCCTAATATATAGTAGAATCCTTATTATAAGGACCCCAAAGCAAGGTACCCCTAATTTTCGGAAACTCCCAAAAGGAGCTTGCAAACATGGACACTCAGGGCTCCACCGCTTCCTGTTTATGTATTCTACTGCAGAGGGTTTATACATACATGCATAGTTACGTACATACATAGTTACATACATACATACATACATATGTATATTACTCGGTTTCCCCGCCTTTCTGAAAATCCGGTATGGCACTGCCTAGAGATCCCTATATAGGGGCTAGGCCCTTCCTGCTGTACTTTCTTCTTTGGGTAGCCTGTTCATGGTTGCGATGACTATATGGGTGGTTGTCAAAATTATGGTCCCTTTTTGGATCCTTATTATAATACGGCACCTATAATTTAGGGTACCCAAAACGGGACCATCATTTTGACAACCACCCACATGGTTAGGATCCCCTACATAGTAAACTAAGCTGACCACGAACGGTACTACATGTGAGGGTGTAGGTAGACCCACAAGCTCTTGCCGCGCGCCCGGTCGAGGACACAGACACAGCGAGGCCAGTTGCAGCAGACGAACACGATGCTGTGGCTTGTTTGTAATTAGTTTGTGTTCTTGAGTTGTTCTGCTCCCAGACTTGTAGGGTGTGAGTACTCTGTATTTTTCCCAAGCCTATTGCCGAGGTCGGTCGGCACATGGTCAATCCTGAGTTCGGAAACCGTCGGTTTTCGGCTTTGTGTTGGTGTTCCCTCGGGCTCCAGTTACTAGTAGGTTACTAACCATATAAAGTATGTACCCCAGTAACCCTACGTGTTGTGGCCCTATGGTTAAAGTCTTGGCCTATCCACAAAGGTCATGAGGAGTCATACCCAAAACCCTAAATCCCTAAACCCTAAACCCCTTAACCGTCCGAGTGTGAGCGCCGAAACCCGTAAACCTCTGAACCCCAAGCCCTAAATTAATTTAAGTTGGTATGGTACGAGAAAGGTTCCGGGCTAGTGTTGCGTCCTGTGAAGTGCCTGAAGTATTGAGTACGTCGGCGACTAGATGCAAATAGTGAGTATATCCCAATTATGTTATGATTCAGTGTTAGTGTCACTGTTAGTATTGTTGCTGTTCTCTGTTTGTTTTGTTTGTGTTGTTTGCTTTGTTTGCTTGCTTGCTTGCTTGCTTGCTTGTTTGTTTGTTTGTTTGTTTGTTTGTTTGTTTGTTTGTTTGTTTGTGTGTGTGTGTGTGTTTGCTTGTTTGTTGGTCGGTCGGTTGGCTGCTTGCTTGCTTGGTTGCTTGGTTGTTTGTTTGTGTATTTTCATTATGCAGGACTGGTTGCAGATGTCCTTGCAGTTATTCCGTTCTTTGTGTGGGTGACGTTTCTGTTTCATGCACACATTGCCGTTCTTATGATTTGGCAGCGCGGCTGAACTGAATTAACCCTAGACCCCTAGACCCTATAAACCCTAAACCCCCAAACTCTGTGAGTGCTGAAACCCCCAAACCCTCAGCCCTAAACCCAAAGCCCTCAGCCCCAAAACTCCAGACCCCTAGACCCTAAACCCCCAAACCCTAAGCCCTAAACCCAAAGCCCTAAATCCCAAACCTCTAGACCCCTAAACCCTAAACCCTGGCTCTAAGCCCTAAACCCAGCCAAGGCACCTGGGAACCCGATGACCTCGAGCCAGAAACCTCGACGCCGCCCGAAACCTCAGGCAGTCGCCCAGCTGCAAGCAGCTTCGGGCTCCTTAAGGAGGACGGTTTAGGGTTTAGGGGTTACGCGCTGTCTTGTGCATTTTCCCGGCTGATTGCAAGAGTCCTGGATGCAAAAGGGTTTAGGGTTTAGGGGAGGGTTTAAGGTTCATCTTTGGGCTCCTTAAGGACTAGGACCCAGAGTAGGCCCTTATTCCCTTTTTGAGGGTTTAGCTTCCCTTATATGCCCCGTTAAACCAAAAAGGGCACCCTTTTTATGCCTGGGTTGCTCTTGGGTCTAGAGGAGGAGATGAGCCCTAAAAGGGTTTGAGTTTAGGGGGTTAGGGTTTAGGGTATAGTGTATACTTTGA